CCCCCCCCCCCCCCCCCCCCCCCCCCCCCCCCCCCCCCCCCCCCCCCCCCCCCCCCCCCCCGCAGCATGAGAGTGAGCCACTATGCAACATTTGTGTATTGTCAAGGAGAATACACCAAGCCCAGCACATTTTATAGAAATTTATATATTTGCATATTGTGGTATATTCTCGTGTATTGCCAATGAGAATACACAAGCCCAGCAAGTTTGAAAAAATAGTCTCTTTTTGACAATACACTGCGTACTGATATTCTGACTCCCTCATTTTTCGGGAATTTATGGCATTGTAAGTGGATAAAAATTTTCATTACATTACAACTCTATAAATTTATAGCATTATAATGCGTTTCAATTTTTTATGTCGTTACAACGCAATTAGATTTGTCTACCGCCTTATAATACGTTGGATTCTAATGCATTATAACGCGTTAGCTTTCTGCTGCAGTATAATGCGTTGCAATTCCTTAGATATTTTATCTAATTATAAAGTCTTAAATTTATGACTTTATGAAAAATCTTTCAATAGCTCTATAACTCATTAGATAATGCATATCGTATTGTAACGAATTAATATCTAATAGATTACAATGCATTATTCTTTCCTATCTCATTGCAACGAGATAAGAAAATGGAACTCGGTGTAACACGATAGGTATTAATGCGTTACAACGAGTTAGGCAATATCCAAAACGAAAATACACGATTTTGTCGTGAAGGACACATTTGCATAAAATTCTGAGATTGCCAATCGATTCCTCTAGACCCGGAGACTCGGACGGACAGTAAATGAACAGCCATACATTCTACATTAAATGAATCTGTAAGAGGAACTAATTCAAATGGCATACCTTCTTTAACATAAGCACCTACACCACCGTGACCTAATGTATGAACATAAGTACTGTCGAAACACTGCTGACGTGTACGATGAATAAAGTTGTAACCGTTCAATTGAATACCATCAACATAATTACTATTTGATAGCCAAGTTTCGACAAGGCAAAGAACATCCGCATGAAGTAAATTTTAATGATTAGAAACATCTTTAAAATGAGGAACAAGACCTTAAACATTTAAATATGTAATGTTAAAATGATTTTAATCGACTATTAATTTTGGTCGTGGCACAAATCTTTTCATCCTTTCTAATTTTCTTGCGATCTGTTCATCACAATAAAATTTCTCTTCGAAACCATCAATTAGACTTAATTTTATATCATCATTACTGGCTGATGAAATTCTTGAAAGCTGTGTATAGCCGAGTCCTGATCCTAACAATGTTTCTGTGCACCAAGCTAATTCATTAACAGTTGCACCTTGAATTTTATCAACTGTTGCTGCCCAAGCTAGTTTCATGGCAAACTGTTGACCAAGATATTGACTTCTGCCATTCATCGGATTATTTTCATCAGATTCAACATTTGTTCTATCAACACAAATTGTTCGTAAATTTCGACAGTGAGCACATTGTTGTCAATGCTCAGCACCAACTCGTTCTTCTTCAGATCTTAAGACTATCTTTACTACTGCTATTTCTTCGTCATTATACAAGAATCAATAACGGTACAGAAGCTACCATTAGCAAAGCCATCTGGAATGTTCGTATTTCTTGTTAACATTACTTTAGCATCAACTGCTAACTTTAGTGTATCTGACGTTATACGATCGGATCCGATGACACTGATGTCAAAATGATCTAGGAAAAGGTCTACACATCCGTCGTACAAACGTTGACCGACAGCCAACTATTGGTAAAAATCTCATACACGGATAACACCGATATCTCCGACAATCGAATTATAATTTGTGACACCTTTAGTAACTTGCCATCGATGAGAGACCGTAGACCACATCAGAGTTGGAAGCGAACGGATTTTTCCCCTCCGGTCCGGTCCGGCCAGCTTCAAAATTTGTCCGGTCCGGTCCGGTCGAAATCCGGCCGGTTCATTTTTTATGTCAAACTGGCAAAAATCCGGCAAGATCATAAATTCATACAATAGCTTGTTTGTTAAGGTATCAACGAGAAACGTCTGTGAATAGTATATAAGGATTCAAACTAGCAACTACAGCGTAAGAAAAATCTTCTACACATCGTGCAGAAATGCATTTTAAGTTTTAACTTTCAAGGTAATTTGAAAAGATAGATCATTTAAACTAGTTTGTTCATCTTTATTTATAAGAGTAAAAAATGGCAAATACAATAACAATCATAATATTAAAAAAATATATGTCCTTTTTTTCGCAAATTTACTTAAAAAATTTTTAAAAAAAGCGAATAAAAGTTGTTTTCGTCGGAGAAAACTTTGAAATACAAGTATCAATTTCAATATCAAGAACTGGCAAAAATCCGGTTTCGTCCGGCCGGTTTAACTTTTCGTCCGGTCTTGTCCGATCCGGCCGGTCCGGAGCCGGATTGCCGGACCGGTTCCAACTCTGGACCACATACTATAATTTATACGTGAAATTTCATCATCAAATATTAACTTCACACTTCCTATTTTTGCTCGATAACTGTTTAATTTATCCGATGATAAAGCTTCATAGTTTTTCTTTAATTGTTTACCCAGGCCTAAAGTACAGTGATGAATAAAATCTCCAATACAAAAAGCACAAGTACCTGTAGGTGCATTTTTAATAGTACGAACGTTACCATCAATATCCGAAAAATTGTTAATCGGTTTTCTTTTAAATAGTCGTGTTGATACAAAAAACATACATTCAACAAGATGACTTTTACCATTACCACCCGGACCAGCTAGAAATAAATGTACTGGTTCAACATTCAATATATATTGTTTTCTTAAACACCAAAGGCGGATGTAAAAATCGGGCTCTGTCAACTCCTAGCCATAAATATTTATTGCAAAACAAAAACAGCTCGAGCTCTCTATCATTTGTCAGGAATGAGAATTCGTGTGGATGGTAGACGCCTATTTTTGGTTCTTGTTGCGGCGTCTTCTCACGAACAGTTGCTAGTGCCGCCGAAAGAAATTTCGTTACACACTTTGACATGGTCAACATTCTCTGGAAGTCTGGTTCAGATCAGACCTATGTGGGCTGAGATAGGTTTCTGACCCGGGAAGGGGGGGGCTTAATATTCTTATTTTGTTAAAATAAAATTTAAATAGAATAAAAATGTTTTTACGGCAGTTATATACTATATTTATTCATTATTAAATTATACTATTCTCAGCAATGGTTATTCACTGAACACTAGTCATAAACAAGCAGCATATAAACGGGAATGACAGACCTCTTCGATTGCACAAAATTCTCTCACGCCTATGTGACATTAATTTATCGGGAACTTGGAAATATCTTAACACTTTTTCTTTTTTTACTTGTACCATCGAACGGTGTGGCCACTAGGTATGGCAAAAGTTAAATCAAACCAGCCGATACGAATATCACTGGAATTATATCAGAAATTAATTATGTGTTTGCCAATCTTTCTCTTCATTTTTTTAATGTTCTCGCCTTTCTACTAACTTTTCTCAGTAATTGATGAAACTTACGAGTTAGAGTACGAGAATGCAAGAATTGGCTAACACTAAATATGCCTCATGACACTTTTTACGAAATGAAACAAGAAAATGTGAACGAGAATGGACAAGGGGGAAACCAATACCCATTTTACACACAAGGTTTATTAGTTCCGCAAAAAATCGTCAATAAATTCTAGAATATCTATCTCAGAGCTCTACCATTCCGTCTATATATACTCTCATTGATTGTTCTATTGAAAACCTTTACAGCTGAAGTCAATTATGAAACGTGTGATTCATATGTTACTTCATTTCAAAATGATACATCGTTCTCTTGTGTACTGAGACCGATCTGTACAGTAAATGCAAAACTGGCCGTCGACGTCTACTGTAATCAAACCCAAACCATTAACGGAACCTTCACTATCCAGCTCGATGCGATTATTTGTTCGCAATACTACTTTGATTATCTGGCGAGAGAAACGACAATAATTTATTTATTCGCGTTTTTTATTATAGCCTTTTTTCTTATGCTCGGATTGATATCCAAATCAGCTTACGATACAAGAACTGAAATTCTCAATGAATCTTTATTCCCAGTTTATGTCAAAGCAGAGTAGAAGGATCGTCTGGGCATAACTTTTTATGTTTATCATCTGTTTATCATCTGCAATAATAGTAGTATTATAAACATAAATCGAAATTAGTTGTTTTAAATCGTGTACATTGAAAATGAATTCTGAAGCCCATTCAATTGAAATAATAAGCAATATTTTTTCTTCTTTTACATTTCTAATATACTTTTTGCATTTTTTGAAATTATCAAATATTTTACCGTAATCAATAATTGTACGTAGTTGGATCTCATTTAAAAGCTTTGTTTTTATTTTATTAATATTGATATCGCACCGTACAATAGTAAACATTTTTGAATTTTTTGATCGCGTTTGTTGAATAATCAATTTTTTGGACTGATTTTCTTTCTTTTTCTGCAGCGATAATGTGTCAACGACGACTGTCTCATTCATTTTTCTACTATTTTAAGAAATTGCTAGAATCTAAAAGTCGAAGTAACATGTATAACTAACCTATAAAGCTGCACGCTGGTGATATACACTTTTTTGGACCATAAATGGAAAAGTACCCTTAAAATAGGGCACACATGCTCTTCTCTAATCCCCAAAAGACGTTTGACTCACAATACAATTTAATGGTTGTTGTATGAATGTGGTAAGTTTCAAAACGTGTTTCATAATTTGATGGTTCTTTAGTTGTTTAGTATCACAGTGCAGATATGACTTGGTTTTTTCCAGTTTTTCTCCCATTCTTTTTCTTACTTTGGGCTTCTTCTTTTCTCCTCAGATTACATAGAGTAAACGTATGTGAAAGAATTTTTACCGGTTTTAAGGCAAATTAAAAATTATTTTAATAACAGAGAAAATAATGTTATGAATCAAACATAAAGCTTTTTTTGTACATTTATTATTATTATTTTATCTAAGCATGGACAATATTACAAACGTGTATATAACAAACATTTATAAATAAACCCTCTCCCCCTTATCCTCAAAAAAATTCTTCATTTTATTCCTACCCAGAGAATCATGTTTATTTCTTTCAGACTAGTCTACTAGTGAAGTGCCAAGCTGTGTATAAAAAAAACTTTTACTACTATGCGTTTCAAAATACAGTGGTCTCGGATATTTTTCGAATAACTTTTCACAGAAATGAGATAAAGACTTGCGGTTTTCAGTTTTGAAAATCAGATATCTGACCACATATTTCCGTGAGCAAGAGCGAGTTTTGGAAGAACTTCTGAAGCGGGTTTTTCAGAGGATCTTGGGAAAACTAGCTTGGGTTTTCTGAAGTTCATATGGGAATGTATTGATTTTTTCTCATGGGCTGGTAGCCCGGGGTGTTCTCTTCAAAACGGGAGTAAAGTGGGATCTTGATTTTCTGCGGTTCGAGCGATCGGGTTTCCGACGAGTTTCAGGACTGGGACCCGGTGACTCTTGGTAGCCTTAAAGACGGATGGACTATGGATGATCGACCATGCTGAGCCTCGTGACGATATTTGTGTTTAGAAAAAGTCTTAAAAATCTAGCGAAAAGCCAGTTTTACGAAAATTGAGGTTTTCAGGCTGTTTTCATCTAATATTAAAAAATTCACTATTCACTCAAAGAACATCAGAACAAGCTCAAATCTCAGGATATGATTAATGTTGTCCGCTAAACGTAATTATAAGATCAAAGAAATCGAAAAACATATTTTTGTTAATAGGTTTTCCAGAAACCCTTTTGGAAAACCTTAGGGTTTTTTAGAATTTATTTCGAGATCTCCTATAAACAGGATACAGAATAAAAAAATCAATACATTCCTATGTGAATTTCGGAAAACCCAAGCTAGCTTTCTAAAGATACTCTGAAAAACCCGCTTCACAGGTTTTTCCGAAATTCGCTTTTGCTTACAGAACATGACTGGTGTCTCGTTTGCAAAAGTGAAAACCGCAGGTCTCCATCTCATTTCTGTGAAAAGTTATTCGAAAAATATCCGAGATCATTATATTTTGAAACGTAAAGTAGTTCATTATTTATTATTATTTTTCGTTCCTCAAAACTTACTTCTACTAAAAATTATTCGAAAAAATACGGTATATTTAGGAGGTTTGAGAAAATTTCAGAAAAAATGACACTTTTGGGATGTTTCAGTGGACAACAGGATAAAATGCTTTCACATATTCAGAGATATATGCATATCTCATACAAGGATCAGTGGAAGTACGTTATTATCCTGAACTCAAATCAGTGACCCACTAAATGATGATGAATTCTCGATTTATCTATAGGTCTAATTTCTTGTAGGATTTAGTTGTAGAAAGCTTCTGACTAGTAACGGTAAATTTTCATTCGTTAAATGGTAGAAACGATAATTTAACTCGTTTGATAAATCTTTTGTTTTTTCTATATTTTTGTTACTCACATGTATAATTGTGTTTTGTGGTTGTTGTTCATCAGATGTTGTTGTGGGAAGTTCGTTTATTGTATCATAACCGGTGGTTAAAAAATATGTTTTTCTCTGATGAAACTCACCATTCTTAAATTGTTTAAAACATTGTTTTAGACATTCGTGAACGTTGATTTGATGACTGGAAGTTTCAATGGATAACAAATGATTAATATTCTTATCTGTGATAATACAAAAATCGAATACCATTTTTATGCCTGAATTTGCGGTTGTACATAGAGAAATAATGTTGTGTGTTGAATTTTTTCTAAACCACGCAAAAGCAAACAGCAACACTGCAATTGTTTTCGTACACTAACAATATTTACCTGTTGTTAAATATATTTTTTAAAAATGTTTTTACTAGCTGTAATCGTTTTGTACCAAATAAACCAGTAAAAGAATCAGAATACCACATGAGTGTACTAGTATCGATAAGATAGAGTTCATATATGGATTCGCTTGAATTTTTGATTGATTGTACAATATTATATAAATCCCAGTTTTTAATTAACCGCATATTTGAATCAAATGGGTTGTTACATGTAGGACAACGAATTGTCTGTTGTTGGTTTTCAACTATTTTTCTAATATAACCATTGATGCAAGTTTCGTTGAACGAATGACCGCAGGGTAATGATACAGGATCTTCGAATGTATTTAAACATATACTGCATTCAAGGTCCATCAAAATCTGCTGAGACTGAAGTGGTATTGCTTGAGCCATATGAACTTTTCTACATTCGTATCGGCCTAGAACAAATGAGGAAAACTTCTTTGTTAGAAATAAACTTTTATACATTCTTCTTCTTTGCTTTCTAACCTCATTCATCAGGAAACATTCCTAGGTGCCGTCTCCCGTTTTGATTTATTCATATCTCAATCGATAGAGTATATCGAGAGAGTAAAAAGCCTAAAAGGATTTTTCCCCTGGGTCTTGAAGACCCACTTTTTCAGAAACTCTAAAAAGTAACCCAGTCCATTCTTAATAGAGCATAATTGTAGCTCGCAAATTTCTGATTAAAACGAGACATCTCTCAGCACTGCACAACCTTTCTTTGCAAAGTTATAGAATTTACAAAAAAGGCCCTAAATTTATTTCTTCTTATTTCTGGAGCTTTTAGCTGACAAGGAACATTTACGGCTTTTGTTGTAAATTCTATAATTTTGCAAAGAAAGGTTGTGTAGTGCTGGGAGATGTCTCGTTATAATCAGAAATTTGCGACCTACAATTATGCTCTATTAAGAGAGGATTTGGTTATTTTTTAGAGTTTCTGGAACACGGGTATCCAGAAAACTGGGTCTTCAAGACCCATGGGGAAAAGTCCTTTTTAGGCTTTTTACTCTCTCGATTGAGATATGAATGAATCAGAACGGGAGATGACACTTGGGAATGTTCCCTCGTCAGTATAAGTTCTTCGTGACTAATGAGAAAAGAAAGATGATTAATAAATCAAAGAAGATATCTGCTGTTTTAGTCATCTGCATACGGTTACTCATACACTAACTGCTTTCTTAGTTCAGATGAAGAGCACGAAGACGTTGATGGTCGATCTGGTAATGATGATACCAAAGAAAGTAATGGATTATTGTGTATCGTTTGACAAATTGGTTGAGATGTGGTGTTATTAATTGGATGAAGTGTCTCACGGTAACTTTCGGTAATCTTGCTGAGAAACTATACGTTATTTTACTAAACTGAATATTCCTGCGTCACATTCTTTAAAAGATAAAAAGATTAGGTTTCTTCCAAGTTTTGTGAAGTTTATCAGGTTTCTGCACGCATATGACTGAAGAATGAAGTGTACGCTACCAAACACAGAGGTAAATTGAGTAGGAATTATTTTCTTATTTTCTATTTTGTTGCATTTTACAATTATATGGGAGAAAAAGTAAATAAAGGATATAATAATGTTCTTCTTCAATGGGTATCATATATGAAAGGTGAGAGTTTCGACAGCGTGTGTTAGAATACAGTAGAACTGATATATAATGTCAGAATCAACAAGAAAGTCTACCATAGAAACTGTAAAGTGCAGTTTATGTAATAAACTGTTTACAGATCCATACTTTTTACCTTGTGGTCATTCATTTGATGAAAAATGTATTCAACATCATATTCAACAACATGGAAATCATAAGAGCACAAGTCTCCACTGTCCATCGTGTAAAAAACCGTTTGATCCCAATATTTCATTTGTCACACACTGGAATCTGCTCAGTGTTGCACAATCAATTCAGACTACAAGTGAATTTATATACGAAATATATCTTCTTGATACAAGTACATCAATGTGGTATTCCGATTTTATCATCGGTTTAATTGAAACAAGTCGGTTACAATTGGCAAAACAATTTTTAAAATGCTCGCTAACGAAGAGGTACATAATCGGACAAGAATCTAATAGAAAGCGCAATTAGATTGAGAACAGAACGTTTCTAATTTTTTAGAGAATAAGATTTTTTTAGGTTGAACGGAAAACGCATGAAACTCTAACAATTAGTAGTAAACAAACTTTATAGTTAGTAGGTATTATTAGCAAATCACCCACAGGATCTTTTTTTCGTATTTATTGCATTACAATGCGTTAGGCATATCGTAATGCCTTGTAATGTGTTAGCTTTTCTATTGTGTTATGACGCGATAAATTTAGAAAAAAACATGTCTTTAACGCATTAGCGTAACGCGTTACGTGCCAAAAAATTGAAATTATAGTGTTATAATGCATTTTTGCCAACGACTTTCTCATACTTTTATAATATTACAGCGCTATAAATTCGACTAACGTGTTAATAGTTACCAGCCGTTACTAAATTCCTATCGCATTAATCTGTAACATGTTCTAACTCATTGTAAAGCTACAGAAGTTCTTCACACGTTTCAGCGACATAAATTTATTGCATTACAATACATTAACTGTTTAGGCACTGTAACGCTATACGTGACAGCGGTAATAAGTGTGCTGTGGGAGTTTATGTCCTAAGTCTCAAGCCAGTAACATATATGTTTGATATAGATGAAGTAATTTTTCCCGAGCCAACTTTTCCAGAGGAATCGATTGGCAGTCTCAGAATTTTATGCAAATGTGTCCTTTACGACAAAATCATGTATTTTCGTTTTGGATATTACCTCACTCGTTGTAACGCATTAATACCTATCGTGTTACACCGAGTTCCATTTTCTTATCTCGTTGCAATGAGACAGGAAAGAACAATGCATTGTAATCTATTAGATATTAACTCGTTACAATACGATATGCATTATCTAATGAGTTATAGAGCTATTGAAAGATTTTTTATAAAGTCATAAATTTATGACTTTATAATTAGATAAAATATCTAAGGAATTGTAACGCATTATACTGCACTAGAAAGCTAACGCGTTATAATACAATAGAATCCAACGGATTATAAGGCGATAGAAAAATCTAATTGCGTTGTAACGAGATAAAAAACTGAAACGCATTATAATGCTATAAATTTATAGAGTTGTAATGTAATGAAAATTTTTATCCACTTACAACGCCATAAATTCCCGAAAAATGAGGGGAGTCAGAATATCAGTACGCAGTGTATTGTCAAAAAGAGACTATTTTTTTCAAACTTGCTGGGCTTGTGTATTCTCATTGGCAATACACGAGAATATACCACAATATGCAAATATATAAATTTCTATAAAATGTGCTAGGCTTGGTGTATTCTCCTTGACAATACACAAATGTTGCATAGTGGCTCACTCTCATGCTGCAGCCCCTCCCCTCCCCGATCGCGACACTATATTATATCCTGTCGATGAGAATATACCAAGCCCAGGAAATAGTGTCTTTTTGAGAATACACTGCGTACTGATATTCTGACATCTCCGCGAAAAATAACTTTGCAACGCGTTATAGTACGACGGGCTACGTCTATTGCGTTGTAATGAGATAAATCTATAGTGTTGCAATATCATAATTTAAGAAAAAGCATGTTTTATAGCGTTATAACGAATATAAATAATAGAGAAGAAAAGATCCTGTGGGCACTTAGTCATGCTGTACAGAGAATTTGACTATAACAAATACAGACAGCTGAGACTCATTAAAAAAATTTGCATACGAAATGATCGTTGTAATCTGAATACTTTTATAAATATACGGTCAACTGTATCGTTTCTTTTGCAACTTGTACACCTTATTTAGAAAAATGGCAAGATGTTGTATTTTGCTGAGAATTTCTGAAATACAGATTCATTGACCGAACAAGCTAAAGAGAAATGTGTTTTTAAATTTTATTCATGATAAATAACAAGCGGACTAAAGTTAATATACCATCGTTCATCATACAGACAATATTCTCAGTGTGATTTTCAAGTTCAAGCAAAAAAATGTGTAACGGCAAAACTAACAATAATAAATAAATAAATATTTTAATAGATAAATAGAATAACAAGTAATTTATGTGAAAGTTTCGGACTAATTTTCGTCTCCAAATCCAGGTCATGCTCTTGATCGATCAAATCTCGTCACTCATTAGTTACAAACACGCGGCAGCATGTATTTAATATATGTATATTAGTGTTATGGAACCACAGACACTCTTGATGCTCTAGCACGTATGACCAGTAGGTTTTCTTCGATTTATGTCGTCATACAGTCCGTATGGTCAGTTGGTTTATCATAATTCACACTATTATTGTTTACGAAGCTGAAGAATAATAATCAAAAGTTTTTGAACTGTTTCTTGGTATTTAATCAAATGTATTGGCTAACTGTTTCGATATATCGATATATTCGCCTGGAAAACAAAAGCTGCAGTCGATTTTTTTAATATATCATCATTATAAAAATACATTTTTAAAAAAATAATTATATATTCTGAAAGCCCTCGGAGTTCTCTATCACCCCGTATATTTACGTCTTGTCTTGCATTGATTTCTTGAAAAATGCATTGAGCGTAATGACGGCCCCCTCATTGTCAGATTTCCGGAAATTGTAATGGGTGCGGCCCGAGGGGGAAAAGGCGGATCCTAGTCCAAAAAAAGCACCATTTACTATAGAAGCAGTCCGAAAGTCTATAAACACTTTTTTTATAGGTTTTCAGATATGCTCTTTCCAATGGTGTGTTTCAGATACACATCAACTTTTTAGGGTGTATGGGTTGCATTATTTATATTACTAACTTAAAAGAAAGATGAATTTATTAGTAAATGTAGTTATTTGAATTATTTTTTAAAAGTACATATCGCCGGTCAGCTTTATTATAAAGTAAGTCGTAACATAGTGTATAAACTAGAAAGTTTATATGGATAATATTTTGAGGGAATTTAAATTTTTAGGATGCTTTAAATATAACTTTAGAGCAAATTATTTATTGTGATGATTATTTAATAATGATTGTAATTATAATTTTAGTTCTAGTAGATTATTTATTAGTTTATCTCTTTTAGAAAGGAGTACTCTTCTAATATTGTTGCTGATCATTTAATTGCAATATTTGAACTGTTTTACCGATTGCAGTTTTGATTTTATTAGTTTACCCATTTTTATTTATTTACTGTATTTAACTGATGAGAACAGAACTAATTTTCTTTGTACTTTAAAAATTATCAGTCATCAGTGATATTGAAGATATGAGATTGATAGTAATGTGGAGTTTGAGTATGATTCATACATTGATCCTGATAGGGTAGTTCGTTTATTAGATGTGGATCGTGTTTTATTACCATCTCAAGAATTTATTCGTGCTTTAAGTACATCTAATGATGCTTTACATTCTTGAGTTTTACCTTCTTTAGGTGTTAAGATAGATGCCGTTTCTGGGCGTTTAAACCAATTTATTTTCAGTACCTTATTAAATTCGGTTATTCATGGTCAATGTTCTGAGATTTGTGGGATTAATCATTCATTTATAGCTATTGTAGTTGAATCTGTTTCTTTATTAGATTTTAGTAGTTATTAATATAGCTTATTTAAAGTTTTAGTTTTTTAGGCTAAAGAATAGTTGAAACATCGTAAATCCTTTTCATTTGTTAAAGTTAAGTACTTGATCTTTTTTTTTTGCTATTGTAGTTATATTTTCTTTTATTAATTTTTATATGTTAGTAAAATTTAATAGAAAAAATATGATTTTTATGTTATTATTCTTTATATTAATAATAGGAAATCGTGAGAGAGAAACGGCTATGGACCATTCTAGTTTTAATGATAAGTTTTTTAGTATAGGAATGATTTTATTTATTTAATCTGAGGTAATATTTTTTGTATCTTTTCTTTATGTTATTTTGATTTTGTTTTTTCTCTGTATATAGAATTAGGTGGGGTTTGATCCCCTAAGGGAATTGTTAGAATTAGGCATGCAACGGTTACGGTTATTAACCGTTAACTGTAACCGTAAATAACCGTAACCGTACATAACCGTTCGAACGGTTAACCGAAACCGTAAATAACCCCTTTATAACAACTTAGTGTATACTTGATTTTTAGTTTATTGATATCGGTTTACATTAGAAGTAGACAAGGATGGTCTTTGTCCTAACGTTCTAGTGCATCTACTAATAAATTTATAAAAATTCTAGGGAATAGGTAATCGATCATGAGGAATCCGAAAATGAGTATGAGCGACCTCTGGGACGCATTTTATTTAATTTTATAAAAAGGGGTTATGGAAGAGTTTTTTTAGCCACAGGTTTTCATGGTTTTCATGTATTATTATTTTGCTTTATAATTTTAGCTAGGTTAGTACGAATGTTAACTTTATCTATGGAAGCATGAGTACATTATGGATCTGAGTTTTCTGCTTGATATTGACATTTTGTTGAGGTTGTTTGATTTCTTTTATTTGTATTTAGTTATTGATGAGGTAATTGATGTGAATTTTATTATTTTGTTTTATTGTAGCTATTATTTTACCTCTAGTTTTATTTATTTTATTTGAATTAGGTATGATAAAATTTTATTATAGTAAGGAATCTACTATTTCTGAATGTGGGTTTCAGGGCTGGGCAACTCCGCTGACTTTCAACTCCAACTCCACTCCAACTCAACTCCGTTTTCAGATTTCCTACTCCAACTCCGCTCAAAATTTTTCAACTCCAACTCCAACTCTCTCAACAAAAATCTCAACTTCAGTTCAACTCCGCGGCTTGTCCACTCGAGACTTCGCTAATCAAGTTTTGAAAAATTTATTTTAGAGTAGAACTGAGAGGAGAATATCGCTAGATGCAGTTTCTGGCGCTGATTACGGATCTCACATTAGTCTTTTAAATAAGTTAAATTTTGGCACGAAACATCCAGTTTTACATTTTTTGAAAACTGTATTTTCAATTTCCTTACCTAGACACTTTTCCTAATGAAAATGGAGGGCCATACTAATCGATGGAGAATTCGATTCTCTACAAGATGGTATGTTTCTTTTGAAGTTTAGATTCAAAACAAGTTTTTAATAAAGTTTTAAGTTTTAAGATTCTCACACAATTCTAAGAAAGTGAAAACATTTTTTCGGCTTCATTTTCACCTTAGTCTATATCAGATGCCTAAAACTAAGTTCGATGTGAAAATGAAATCCTTTGAGCAATATTTGGTGCTCCAGACTTTGTTGGGAAAAACGATGGTCACAGCGTCACGACGATAAAACACAAGTATTGAGGAACGAAAAGCTCTTTCGAAACATTCCTTTTTAGCAATCAGTAGCTCGTTTACTCCTCTACAAATTTTGCTCGAGGCGCTTTTATTAGCTCTTATACATTCGCAGCAAATAAGTTTTTAATGAGAAGCACTTCGAATTTAGGGCCTTTTTTTGTCAGAGCGTCACGCGCCGAAAAACGGTTCTAAAAATTCGAGTCTTTAACCACATACCTTCATTTTTATAGCAAAAGTACAGTATGGCGAGCTCCGTCGAATGGCGCAAGAACGAAGTTTCTAGCTGTTACACTTTTTGAGAAAAGCTCATATTACTGTGTCAAAAATGTTACAGCGTCACGCTTGGACAAGCCGTCCGGTTGCTTCACTTTTGTACGGAAGATTTTTCGATTTTTAGCAGAATTCTGGACGCTTTTAAGCTTTTTCCGGCAAGAAAGCGCAAAGAACTTCCGAATTCACTCGTGAATATACAGCCACTCAATCGTTTAGAAGACCAGTTTACAACTATTCAATATTTTTAAAAATGCAAAACGGAGTTGAGAATAAATATTCAAAAACCGAACTCCAACCTACTAAAATCTCAACTCCAACTCCAACTCCGCCAAAGTCAACTCTGACTCCAACTCCAACTCCAACAAAAAAATCCTCAACTCCGGAGTTAACTCCAACTCCGGAGTTGGAGTTGCCCAGCCCTGGTGGGTTTGACTCATATAATGTAAGTTTAATTGCTATTTCATTACGATTTTATGTTTTTTATATTTTATTTTTAATTTTGGATTTAGAGTTAGTAATTGTAAAATGTATTCCTTTATTTCTGTTTATAGATATAATTATTATAAATTTTTTATTTTAGTTACTATTAGGTTGATAATAGATTGATTTGTTGGAACTTTAAGTTGGGTAGAATAAATTAAAGCAAGGCGCTAACATTCAATAATTATAGAGATCACACAATTCTATGCAACAAATCTTTGATTCATGTTTTTTTGCCGAAGCGTTTATTATTATATTTGTCTGTCTGAGAATTCAATTTTCGGTTTAAAAATATTAGCATTTATGGTTGCAGAATTTTTAATTCTGTTAAATGTTTTCCTCTTGACAATTCTTTTAAAAAGTAATATGATGACTTGATTAATAATATTATCTGTTTTTGATGCAGAGGATGCAGATGAAGATGTCGTTTTATAATGAAACATATAGTCGATGGGGAATAAAAAAAAAAAATATGTTCATTGTGTGAAAAAAATTATTTTTTAATCATAGTTCTATTAAGAAATTTCATTGAATGAATGCTAAATTTTTTCAGGATTTTTAAAAGGATTTATCTTTTGTTTCATGTGACTTTACTATGTACCGTGGCTTTCCAGCCTCGATGGTCTTACCCAAAAAAAAGAAGATGCACTATTTTATAATTTTTATAAATTTAGTTATATTTTAAATTTTAAATTTTAGTTATATTTTAAATTTTAAAATTTTATATTTTAGTGTTTTAATTTTTTTTTAATATTTTTATACATATTACATACGTTAAAAAGATTATAAGGTATCTACCATGACTCGATACACGTTTATACATAGGAAGAAGAAGAAAGTCGTTCCAGCAGAAAATGTACTCACCTCAGGTATGTGTATAACCCAGGAAAGTGTGAATTTTTTTTCAGCCGAGTTAAGTTAGTAACCTTATATGTCTCTCTTGTCTTTCACTTATCGGAATGAATCAATGAGAAATTTTAGTCGATCTTATTGATGTTCAATCATCACCTGAAGAAGCTCGTAGTCCTCATCTAGTTGATGGAACAATTGCAAGTGCACCAACTGACTTTGAACAATTAGTTATTATTATGGGAACCATCAATGATGAAGGTGAGGAAATTAACTTAAGTTTATCGACTTTGATCTGTCTTCTGTTAAATAGGCGTTGCATTGGCTTGGGCACTAACTAGTAACAGAAAGCAGCCAACTTATGATAAAATTTGGTCTGAAATAATTAAGTGGTCATTGAACAAATCCTCACTAATGAAAGTAAACGATTTATTCTTGATTTTGAAACAGCTCAGCGTAATTCAGTTGAACGACAGTTTGTAGGAGCCGAAGTTACTGGATGCTGGTTCTATTTTTGTCAATGTTTGTATAAACATGTTGGGCAACTTGGTTTAATTCCCAGTTATAAAGATGATGCAGCAATTAGAACGTGGCTTAGATCATTTATGTCTTTACCACTTTTTGATAATGATATTTTTCCATATGCAATTAAATATTTACAAAGACATGCTCTAACTAGTTCAGATCAATGTCGTGAATTTCACTACTTCGAATATCAATGGCTTGTATCTGTTCCAATACAATATTGGCATGTGGGAAATTTGAATCCCAGAAGCAACAACTGGATAGAAGGTAAGTTATTTTGTTACTTTCAAGTTTCCTAAGTTCCAAACTTACATTTTTTTTTCTTCTCGTTCTAGGATATAATAATGGTATTAGAACACGTTTTGGTAATCATTCTAATATATGGCTCTTTCTGTATCATTTATTAATCGAAGAACAAATAATTAAACAACGCGTACAGCAACTCGTTGTTGGTAAAATTCAAAAGAGTGGCAGTACACGTGCACCAGAAAATGATACAGTAAGTCATTCAATAACAAAACTGAATAAAAAATACATTAATGGAAATTTAGATATCGAAAAATATTTGAAAGCGCGTACATATTTAGTTGGTAACGCTGATGCTGGTAGCGCTAATGCCAATAAAATAACATCAACAGCAGCTACAATATGCCCAACGACAACGCCGCCAAAGGAGAAACCTGCAGCTAAAACATCAACAACAAAGACTCTCTCTTTAAACTGAACCAATATTAAACTCTCTTTCTCTGTCACTCAAAACTATGCATGTACATATTCTTAGGTTATTCATTTTCTTTTGTTAAAAGAAAAATACTTGGGTGGCTGATGGAACAATGAAGCTATGAAAAAGGATTAAAATGACCTATATTTACAGTACACAAGTCTTCAATACATAATACAAGTCAAAATGCGTAATACGATGTAGGTCACTACAACATGATGTCTAATTTGAATGGATGCTGGATTTAGAAAAAGCGATAACCTATAAACCGTAAGAGAATAAAAATATTCTCTAAGTTAGTGAAAAAAAATTTCACTAAGTTAAGTTAGGAAGTCCAGTTGGCAGAGTGCCACAGACATTTCTGCCAATTGGCAGAACCGTATCTGACACTCTGCCAATTATAAAAAATTTTTGCCAATTGGCAGAGATATCTGTGACACACTGCCAATGGAATTGGCAGAAAGTCAGTGGCAGAAAAGGGAATCGGCAGAGAGGCTTTTTACCGATTTGTCTAAACTTCTGTAATAATTGTTACTACTTTGCAATAAAATTACTTATACTTATTACTTGTTGCTTAATAGAATTAATTTTAAATGAATAATATAAATAGGAACTAAACCAGAATGCGCATGCATACATGACGACGAAGTTCATTTTGACACTTTTTCTCTGTTTACTGTGTTTATACGAGATTGCAAGGGTTTCTTGCATTTATATAAAACAATCAAATGCTGATTACTTATATCGTAAAAGTATTCATTGTGGCTGAAAATCTGCCTCGATCATACGCAAAAATGGGCACTACGCCACATGATACTAAAAATAGCTATCATTGTCGCGTCACCGACATTACAAAGATAAAACGTATTAATAACGTCAGTTTGATAATCTCATCTTCATGAGGTATTAGAGTTCCGAATGAAAGTTTTTTGTGTTATCAAATGATCATGATTCAGCTTGACAAGACTTCCCTAGTGAAAATACTTATCAAGCGAGTACGACTTTGCAGTGTGAGTACTCATACTACTCACGCGAGTACTCGTGGAATTTTATGTGTATTTACACTCGTCGTGTATTAATGGCAATCAAGCGTCAAAGAGGTTGATGATTTATTATAATTTATTTTTGCAACACAACAAAATGTTTTTCGAAGTTCGACGAAATACGGAAAACTAAATTTTGACAACTACTTTCGAACAATGTGAAAAGACAATGTCGCAAAATGTCAAAACTTGACTCTGACAATCCCTAGCTACGAATGTTTGTTTCACTTTAAAACAATTCCGAACTCTGTAGCGTCTGGCTGGGAAAAAATATTCAGAAGCGGCAACACCTACGGCAATACCTAAACAACACCTACTCTTTGCCCCTCAATGTAGCGACATCTTGTGAGCTATAAGAGATGGGGCTTAAAGAAATGGGTAACCTTATTTGATGAGCTCAATATGTTCTGAAAATATTCAGTCTGGACTAGTGGTTTCGAAAATAGGTTTCTGATATGTACCTTATGAATTATAGTTGTGTAGTTTTTTGTTTCTGCTCATAGGAAATGAATAGTCTGTTAAGTAAACACAGGTGCAGGGGATCTCATCTAACAATTAGAAATATGAGGTGTTCTCTGTGGTTTTATTTCTAAATTAATTGCGTTAATAATATTATCTAAATCCCCTCCCCCCTCAACAGCGAAAGTGGTAAAGTTGTAAAGCAGACGTCACACGATTTATGATTCATATTTATTTGTATGCTGTTTAGTGAACAATTGTGAACAATAAACTTAATCTATAACCATATAAACAACTTTCGACACATGTTCATATACTATAAACATTATTGTAATAGATATAATAATGTTTCATGATCCTTTCAGTTTACATGCGGAAAACAAACAAGAGCTTGAAAACAAATAGCGACTGTTGAATAAACAATAGGCCAATGATCACTAGTACCGAAATCTACTGTTTCACCTCTAAAAGTCATTATGTCTGAGAAAGTTAAATCGGTATTAAGCAAAGAACGTTTAGAAGAATTGAAAGTTTTTTTTACTTATCCAATCCTCTAAAATGGCCCCACGCTTGTCTATCAGCGGACTACCCCACCGTACAACTGAAGCATTGAAATCACCTGATAGAATAGTATTTTTAATAAGATAGGGTTTCAGATCATTTAAATCTCTATTCTGGCATTTTGGCCAATATCAACCGCTTATTCTGAAAACCTAATTACTAATACAAATAATTTTAACAGTAATGAAAGTCTGTTCTTCTTCAATTAATGAAGAATACAATATGGTAAAGTACTCGAACGCCCTTAAGTTCTATGAAAACTCACTTAGAATTCAACAACAATCTGGATCTTCAAATGATGTCACTTTAGCTACTACATACAGCAACATCGGTTTGATATATAACAACATGAAAGAGTACTCAGAAGCATGCAAATCGTTTAACAAAGCATCTCACGTATATCTAAAAGCAATTAACGACCGATATAGACCTCGCCATTCGTATCAGAATGATCAACAATTGTATACAAACTTCATCAATATTGGTTCCGAGCATGAGAACATGAAAGAGTACCCGGAAGCAGCCAAACTCTATGCAGCCTCACTACACCTACAATTCAAATCTCTCTATTCAAACGACAAAAATCCAAATTTCGCCCCTATCTGCAGCAACCTTGGTGCGGTGTATATGAATATGGGAAACTACGGCGAAGCATTGCACTACTATAAAGTAGCGCTTGAACGCCTAAAAAGATTTCTTCCTTTGAATCATCCATATTGGGCTGTTGCGTATAACAACGTCGCTTCAGCTGAACAAAAAGGGGGAAGCTACTTAAAAGCATTCGACTACTATCAAGAGCCACTTAAAATTCAATACAAATCTCTCCCTGTAAATCATCCGGCTGCGTTCAGTTTTCAAAGCCTCTATCCTTTCAGGACTACGAAAACCAGACAAGAACAACTTTTTAAGCTCATGCCACGTATCCGGCAGATGATGACTATGGGAAAGCTGTAAATGCCAGTCACCAGCTGCATCTGTGAGCCAATTACTAATATTTCGCAGTAATTGCGAATCACCAGCCCGAAATAACGTTCGCATTTTCTGTTGGTACTCATGCAAAAACTTATTAGGCTGCTCATTCGCTTTACGACCGAAACGAGTAATTGAATCATTAATGGTAACTTGCAGAGTTGTCGGTAAAGTGAGAACAGTTGATCGTGAAGAAGAATTAGAAAACTTTCTGTTTGATTTTCTTTTTCTTCTGGGTTCTGAAGTTAACTCTTTCCCACCGTAATACGAATCATTATCATCACCTCTACTCGAAAAAGAAGAAACGTTTTGTTTACGATGATGTTTATTATTTTTCAAAGTTTTACTTTTCTTGTGAACTTCTAAAAAGTCACTTTTATCTGAATGCGTAGCGTCACTTCCTGTTAACGAACTATTTGAAGATGATAAGGATGGTGCAGAAGATTTCTGATAGTGATTTTTCTTAGGTTTTTGTTTTATATTTCTTTTAGACTTAAGCTCAACTTCTGTTCTAAGAGAAGAAATAGATTGATCAGGAGATGGTGGTCTTCTGTGCTGTCTCTGCGACTTAACAGGAACTTTCTTTCTCGTCTTTCGTTCTGGAATAAGTGTGGTTTCTTTGACGAAGATTTTAGCAGATGAATTAAGAGGTAAGGTTTTAGCAGGTGTATTAAGAAGTAAAATCTCAGTTTGCGTGCCAGAATCACTTTTGGGAATGGAAATTGAGTTCGATCGATTTCTAGCTGTGTGAGAAGAAGAACACTCATGTAATGGTACTAATTTCTGTTCCTTGTTTTCGCTTGGTAGTGGTGGCAAACTAGCATGCTGCGAAAGATCAGAGTCGTAAGCATACAACAGCTGTGCGGGCAAAGATCGAAACTTGAGCTTTAGAAGCTCCAGGAATTGCGGTAATAACATCTCTAGAGGCTGCTGTCAGCGTATTAGCCGACAATAGCTGTGTTCGAGATGAGCTTTGTTGCTTATCCATAACTCGAATTATAGCCTTTGTTAGCATTTCCAAAGCTTCCTCTGCCTGCTCCTTCTGTAGTTTCATAGATTCCATCTGCATTTCTAGGGCTTTAGTTGCCTGCTCTTTCTGTATTTTCATAGATTCCAGTATATGCATATTCTGCATTTTCATACTTTCGAGCAACAATGCGTTAGCATCAACTCCATCACTAGCGGCCGAAAGATTAGGTGTAGTACGTGATGTATTGGATCTGATAGATCTACCTCGAGACAAAACGGAGACTAATGATGGAGTTACAGAAGTCTTGGGTTTTGTTTTTACAAAAATCTTCGATGGTTCTTGTTCTAAAGATGAAGCATCCCTATCGATGGAACCGCTCAAACGCGGAGCTGCTGCTACCTTCTTATCTTTATCTATCGGAATATTTTGCGACATCTCAAATGCAGAAAGTGAAATGTCCTCTAAAGGTTTCTTACCACACCACACCCTCCTTAACAGCTTGGAAAAATCTTACCCGAGAAATCTGTAACTATCGAGAATGAATGTTACCCAAGTAATTACAAACACCCAGAAGAAATCGAGT